TGGGGGGGGGGGGCATCATGGCTGGGGTGGTATGGAAGACCGGTGATGCTCTTCCCTGTGCTTTGGGCCACTTTGGGGCAAAGCCAGTGGAAGTTTGTCCCTTGGGATCTCCTTCCCTGGCTTCAACTCATCCCAAGGTGATGTTGTGGGAGTCCCAGGGTGGTGCAGCGGGTGAGAGCATCCTTGGTCAGAGCAGCAGGTAGAAGATGTGCTCTGAAACTTCTGCTCCTTTTTTTCTTTTTCCTGCCCTCTAGTCCAAAAAAGTCTACGAGAAGGTGGGGGAAGCCACTGAAACAGCCCTGACATGCCTGGTGGAGAAGATGAACGTCTTCAACACTGACACCAGCAAACTCTCCAAGGTGGAGCGAGCCAACGCCTGCAATTCGGTGAGTGGGGGAAGGCCCCTGTGAGCTCCGGTGCTGGGGGACAGGAGGGAGGGTTATTTGAGCAATAACTGGTATTTGAGCAATAACCACTTGCAATGATCTAAGGGACTGATCTGCCACAGGGATGCAATTTCCTGGCTCGCAGGGGGCTGAGCTGTTTTTCGGAGCAGATAGCACAGTGGCCCTGGGGGGGACTGATGCCGGGGCCGTGGGGTCTAACCTGGGTCCACCTGGAGCTCTGGAGCGGGTAATCCCTGAGGCTCAAACCCAGCCCAGTCCCTGCTCAGCTGGGAGAGACCCCCTTGGTGCTGGCCAGAGCTCTGGCTGCAGATGAGGAGGTTTGGAGTTCTGTAGCTCCGCAGCAAATCTTTAGATGCCCGGTTTGCACTGAGCAGCCGTCCCACATAGTGTGAACCGAACCCCGTTCCCTAGAGCCATGCCTGCCTGAACGAGGCTTGCTCTTTGGAAACATCTATTTTTGATGTGAAAATATCCTATGCTGGCTATTCCCCTACTCCAGCTCTCCAGTGTCTCCCTGTCCTTCTGGTAAAAATATTCATTTCATATTCATATTCATTTCATTTTCATTCATACTTATTTGGTAAAAATATTCATATTATTTCATGTCTGGATTTACTTGGCTTTGGTATCATGCTGTTAGATCTTATAATGTCTTTGCTTGCTCCAAGGAAGGGCTCTCTGTTCTGGCATTTCTTCCCCAGATAAGTCCGAGCAGGTCGTAATACACCCTTTGACTCCTTTCTGGTAAGGGAGAGGGAATTTCCCAGCCATCCATCAGTCTGGCAGCTGCTTCGTTACGTGTGCCCATCACTGCCCTTCCACTCGGGTGCCAGGCTGGGATCGGTCACTGGTGCTTCTCTCCTTACTCTTGTCTTCGGGCAGGGACAAAAACCCCTTCCTTGGACTTTCCTGGCAGTATTTCTTCACTGCTTCTTGATTTTGCTTGCAGTGACCCTGTGCTTTGAAATCTCCGGTGGGATTTTGGGGTTCCCACAGCAGCTGGCTGCTCCCAGCTGTCCTTGTCGCTGCGCTGAGCATGCCGTGCCCGGCGGGGACAGCACTGCTTTTGTGGGCACAAAACTGCCCGCCTACGTGTGGTCACTGCACTCGTACCCTGTGCTGGGTTTGGCCTTGGAGAGCTGTGTGCTGTTTACCTGGTATAACCACGGGCAGTGCCCGCGTTTTGCATGGGCAAATCCCCTTTGTGCATCGCTCCCGCTCGCAGCTGCACTGCAGTAGGAGCATCCCTTTAACTTTGAACTTGCAAGGTTTTACCCCCAAAGGAATTTTCTTTTTCTTTGCTCCCTTGACTGATTTATTTAGAATGAAGTTGCTGGAAAAGTCCTGTGCAAAAAGCTGCTTGTGTCCCCATCGTAAGCAACACCCTCCTAGCAACAAAAAAGTTATAATCGTATAAGCAGCTGAGCCCTGCAGAGCAAGGTTGGCATCAACATCCCCACTGCCCTCTCTGGAAAATACTTGGGATCGGCCACAGATGCCCTGCTCATTAAATGGCTTTTAGGGGACAAGACGTGTCCTCCCAGGAGCCGGGCTCGGCTGCCGTGATGCCGATGTGGATGCGCAAGAGGGGGAATTGGTCTGAGGAGGTCTGGCTGCTCTCTTGCTGGGCGTTTGGCTCCTGAAGTAATTAACTCGTGGCAATAGTAGTGCCTGGTTTCGGGGGGGTTAGGGGGTGTTGGGGTGCAGGACCCTGTCTGTGGGCACTGCCTGTGCCCACGGGTCCTTGCGCTGGGGCAGCCCCTGCTCTGTCCTTGCCCTGCAAACCTGCAGGTACCATTTGAGTGAACGATTGTTACTGCTGGCAGTCCTCGGGGTAATTAGCATGTCCTCAAATGAGCCTAATTAGAGTCTTAACTGCGGAGCTGGTTAATTTGATGGGAACCAATCCAGCCTCAGGTGATGTGGGTGCTCCCACTCCCACTGACCCCTGTGGGTGCAGGAGCAGGGCAAACCCCTCCATTGTAAGGAGTGGGATGCAATGGGATGCAGTGGGATTGCTCCAGCTGCAATTTCGCGCAGCTGGAGCCCAACGTGGAGGGAAAGTCTTTATCTTAGGCTACAGCAGCGGTTTGGCATCCCGTGTGGGGTCAATAAAATAAAGGTCTGGCACAGGCTGGCAAGTGCTGTGGGCTGGGCAGCGATGGTGTAGTCAGAGGGGTTAAAATTCTCCCGAAAAATTGCATAGGGAAAGCTCCTTCTGCCTTTTGCACTGTCCCATCCCTCCTGGCTCCCGTGGTTGCCTTTCTCCTCCCATTACCGGTGCTCTGCCGCCTCGGCAGGGTTGGTAGCCAAGGCAGGGAGCACTGGCTGCTGTGTCACTGTACTGTACCCGGTCCAAAAAAAACACTGTCCCCGCAGGTGATCAAGCAGCTGATGAAGAAGGAGTGCACCCTGGAGTTCTCCCGTGACCGCAAGTCCATGTCGGTGTACTGTACGCCCACCGGCCCCGGCCACAACTCCACCGGCAGCAAGATGTTCGTCAAGGTAGGAGAAAAGTTCCTCAGCACCCTCCAGGCTCCTCCTTTTCCCTGTGCATCCCCCCAGCAGGATTTGGCCCTTATTGCAGTGGGCAGTGATGCTTTGCAGTTTGTCTCCTTTCTCAGCTGTCCAGTGCTCCGGGAGCCAGCAGGTAGACTGGTGTGGTCAGGGAGGAGGTGAGTCTTTGTGGTATTGATAGGAAAACAAAGAGGTAAAATGATTTAGAGGGAGGAAAAGGTGCTGAGTGTGCTGGTGCTGGGGCCAGGGGAGAGCTGCCCCTGTACAAAACTTGGGCACTTGCGTTTAATAAAGGCTTGGACCTTCCTGACACCAGTAACACCCAAAGGGCTGTGCCCAGCTTTCCACTGTAACCAGAAATAAAATAGTGTCTTAAAGGGCATTTTCTTCCCAAGAGAAGAGATGCGGCAGGAATTTCCCCCTGCTGACTCTGGAAGATTTGTATGTTGTTGTTCCCACTGGGAGATCTGCTGGGTGGGTGAGCTCTGTCCTCCGCATCAGGTCAGGACCCTCCGGAGCCACCGCATCTGTGGGCCTGGCAGTCCTGGGCAAGCTTTTTTAAAAGGAGTGTTAGAAAGATTGCAAATTTTATATTAAAAAGCAATGTCAGGGATGGTTCGTAAGGTCAGAAGGGGTGGGGTGAGATGCTGGGATGCTAAAGGACGTGCTTTCCTGAATCGCAAAGGCGTCGCAAGCATCCACTGAGCATCCCGCAGGCAGCGCCTTTTTTCAGTAGAGATTCACAGCCCTGATCCCCTCCAGGTCTGAGAGGGGATCTGTGGTGCTGGAGTATCTCGGGCAGACACGTAGGATTTGCAGGAGTCAGAGGGATCCCCGGCAGAGCAGATCCTGCTGCCTGGTGACCTGATGTGGGTTCATCCTTCCCGACCGCAGTCCCCATGCGCTCGGTCGGAGGCTGCCATCTAGCGCGCTGAGCCGCCGTGCCGGGATGCGTGTGCTGGAGTTTTGGGGAGATTTCCTTCTCCTTTGCCCAAACTTCGTGCCTTCCCTCCCTCCAGCACTTCCTTCAGTGCTGGCAAGAGATGCTCATGGCACTTTCTTCAGTGCTGGCAAGAGATGCTCATCCTCCAGGTTCATTCCAGCCCCTAAGCCCTCTGCTTCTCCCCAGGGCGCCCCAGAAAGCGTGATCGAGCGCTGCACCCACGTTCGTGTGGGCACCGCCAAGGTCCCGCTAACGGCCCCGGTGAGGGAGAAGATCCTGGGCAGGATCCGGGACTGGGGCATGGGCATCGACACGCTGCGCTGCCTGGCCCTGGCCACCCACGACACGCCTGTCCGCAGGGAGACCATGCAGCTGCACGACTCCGCCGCCTTCATCCACTATGAGGTACCACACCGGGGGCTTTTTTTCTCATTCCCGAAGTTTTCCCACCTACTTCCAGCTGCCCCAGCAGTATTTTCTCTCTGGTTTCTCTGTGGGCAGCAGGTAGTGCAATGGTTCAGCTCCTCCTCTGCAAGGCCTGGTGCAGAGCTGCATGCAGCGGGGCCAGTCCCAAGGCCAACAGCCCCGTCCCACTGGGCATCCGTCCCCGTGGGGTGACCGCTGAGAGGGGCCTGGGCACCACCGAGCGGGACGGGGAGGAGGGGAGTGACGTGAAAAGATGTGAGGAGCAGCAGGGAGGACAGGAGTATCCCATTGCATTGGGACTATAGGGTGCGTCCGTGGGGCTGTTGATAGGAAACCTCCTGGAAGTTCCCTCCCAGGGGAAATCCCCGTGCCCAGGGTGGTTTCACAGTGGGGAGGGAAGCGGCTGCATCCTTGGAGGTTAATCTGGATTTGGGACTGTCCCCCTGCTAGAACAACCTGACCTTCGTGGGCTGCGTGGGGATGCTGGACCCTCCCCGCAAGGAGGTCACCTCCTCCATTGAGATGTGTCGCAAGGCCGGCATCCGCGTCATCATGATCACCGGTGACAACAAGGGTACGGCGGTGGCCATCTGCCGCAGGATCGGCATCTTCTCAGAGAGCGAGGATGTGGCCGGCAAAGCCTACACGGGCCGGGAGTTCGATGAGCTGCCCCCTGAGGTGCAGCAGCAGGCGTGCCGTGATGCCCGATGCTTTGCCCGCGTGGAGCCGGCACACAAGTCCCGCATCGTCGAGTACCTCCAGTCCTTCCATGAGATCACTGCAATGGTGAGTCCCCCGGGGACGTTCCACCATCCCCCGCCCTGGTCCCCTCCTCTCCACCCAGCCCAATCTCTTGCACCTCATTAACCATGGCTTCATGCAGACAGGCGACGGCGTCAACGACGCCCCAGCCCTGAAAAAAGCAGAGATTGGCATCGCCATGGGGTCGGGCACGGCTGTCGCCAAGTCGGCTGCTGAGATGGTGCTCTCCGACGACAACTTCTCCACCATCGTGTCGGCCGTCGAGGAGGGCAGGGCCATTTACAACAACATGAAGCAGTTCATCCGCTATCTCATCTCCTCCAACGTCGGAGAGGTTGTTTGGTGAGAGCCCCCCACGCCGGGCACCACGTTGTAGGGAGCAGCAGTGGGGACACATCCCTCGGGGCAGGTGACCCGCAGTCCTGTCCATGTCCCCTGCCCCTGGCAGCATGCGGTGCCCAAAATTGTAACCCCGGGTACCAAACGGAGCAGCTATACCTTGTCTCATTCCCCAGGGACAGGGGGATTTTTCTTTTGTAGTTTTGTAATCACACCATCGTGCAGGAGCTGGTTTATTAATGCGCTGCCTATTTAAGCCCATGCCAGCATCTAAGATGGGTGCAGATACTTGTGCACAGGCTGTTGTCACCAGGTTGCGCCGATGGACTTTGCATCAGGTCCTGGGCAGCTCTCCTTGTCCCTGCCCGTCCCTCCCAGTAAATCAGCGCCATCCTCAGCAACATGGACACAGCATTGGGATCACTTGGGCGTCCTTGCCCTTGCATTTCAGCACGGGTGTTTGTGTTGGGAACGGGAACCCACATGGCCACGGTGACATCAGTGGTTGGGTTTAGACCGCAAATGGTTGAGTTTTGACTGCAAAGCAAGTTTTGATAGCAACAGGAACAAATTTTTGCTGCAAAATTCAGTCCTGGACTACAGGTTCCTGACTCAAGGGCTGCAGGTTCATCTGCAGGAGTTTGGGTGAATATTCAGTTTGGGGTATTTGGATCCAAGGTGCCTGCTCGCTCTCCCCTTGCATGACTCAGACACTCTCTGGCTGCCCAGAGCTCGTCTAATTCAGCATCTCTGGTTTTTTTCCCCGTAGCATCTTCCTGACAGCCATCCTGGGCTTGCCGGAGGCCCTCATCCCCGTGCAGCTGCTGTGGGTGAATCTGGTGACGGACGGGCTGCCGGCCACCGCGTTGGGCTTTAACCCCCCTGACCTGGACATCATGGACAAGCTGCCCCGCAACCCCAAGGAGCCCCTCATCAGTGGCTGGCTCTTCTTCCGCTACCTGGCCATCGGAGGTGAGCCCCTGCAGGTGCCGGTGGGCAGAGGATGACGATGGACATGGGGTGTCGTGGGGTAGGGGGTCCCTTGCTGGGTGCTGGGGCTAAAGGTGTCTCTCTTGGCTGCAGTGTACGTGGGCTTGGCCACAGTGGGCGCAGCGACCTGGTGGTTCCTGTACGACGCCGAGGGACCACAGGTCTCCTTCCATCAGCTGGTGAGTCAGGAGGGGAACGGGACAACGTGTTGAGCAGACAGGTGAGGGCATGGTTGAAAGGAGGTTGGGGTTGGTCTCTTCTCCCTTGTAAGTAGAGATAGGACAAGAGGAAACAGCCTCAAGTTGCGCCAGGGGAGGTTCAGGTTGGATATTAGGAAGAACTTCTTCACTGTAAGAGTCGTTAGGCATTGGAACAGGCTTCCCAGGGAGGTGGTGGACTCACCATCCCCGGAGGTGTTCAAAAAATGTTTAGATGTGGCGCTTCGAGACATGGTTTAGTGGGCATGGTGGCGTTAGGAGGATGGTTGGACTTGATGATCTTTGAAGTCTCTTCCAACCATAACGATTCTATGGATTCAGGCATTGAGGTCTTTCCTCTACCTTTCTTCTGTGGTTGTTGTAGTGTTCCCAAATTCCTGGCGGAGAAGACAGTAATCTAAAAGAAAAGCAAATTCTCTCCCTCGGGCTCATGTTTCCAGCCTTAGTTCTGCCAGCAACCAGCATGGTGGGGAAAACTTGATTCAAAAAAGCTGAAAGTAGCTCCTTACTTGATCTCACTTTGAAAGGGATTGATTTTTACATTCCTGTAGGTCTGAACAAGGTAGTGGGAAAGCAGGTGCCATCACGCCCCAATGTCACGGGCAATGGAAGATGTATTTTTGATGGAGACGCGTGTGTGCTCAAACACCTTATTAACTGCACCTGAAAATCTCTAAGCCACTATCCAGCCATAACCCTAAAGCCCCAACCACAGCAGAAGCTGGGTCATTTTAGAGAGTTTTATCAGTAGCTCTGAACTGTGGGATATTTAACAGCAACCCTAATAATCAAAGTTCATCATGTGCCCCTCAACCAGTCGACCTCTTCCTCCTCTTTCCTGCCTTTCCTACACTGCTGCTCTGCCCTGTATTTACCAGCGGTTTCCTGTGCCGACAGAGGAACTTCATGAGGTGCACTGAGGACAACCCCATCTTTGAAGGAATCGACTGTGAGATCTTTGAGTCCCGATACCCAACCACGATGGCTCTGTCTGTGCTGGTGACAATCGAAATGTGCAACGCTCTGAACAGGTAGGGTGACCGCAGGATTGCTCTGTATGCTCTATGCATGACCGATTTTGTGTAGGGTCTCTTTGGGCATCTGTTGGTGGGCTGAGGGCTTTGCTTTGAGTCAGCAGAGCCGTTCGGAGCATCCTCACAGGGGACCGTTGGGTTTGCCTTGAATAAACTCCTCCAAGGCAGCGTGCCGCAGTCAATAGCGGTGCAGGAAGGGCTGAATCCACATCCGTTAGCGGTTTGGCCCTGTTAACGACTGGTCCTAATCCAGGCATGGCTGGGTGCGTTGAGATGGGTGTCCAGATCCAATTCGCAGCAAAGCCTGAAGCTGAACAGTCTGGAGGAGAAGGGCTATAGCCTACGGCCCTGCACCTTGGAGAGGAGTGGGAACTCCCAGCTTGGGCAGGCATGGGCAGCAGGAGGTTACTGGGGCTAACGCTGTCCCCTTGCTTTTGCAGTGTCTCTGAGAACCAGTCGCTGCTGCGGATGCCACCGTGGCTCAACATCTGGCTGCTGGGGGCCATCGTCATGTCCATGGCTCTGCACTTCCTCATCCTCTACGTCAAACCCATGCCTGTGAGTGCCCTCTGCCACCTCCACCCGCAGCTCGGGGGGACTCCTGTAGGCGAGGAGATCCCTGGAGCAATCTTTGGGTCTGGAAGCTTCTGGGATGGTTGTCCCCAGCACCATGCCCTCAGGACCTGGTCCCGTGACTTGAACCAAAATGGAGACCGGGAGTCAGCCTGCCCCAGGGAGCCTTTACCTCAGTCAGAAGCTGTCCTTATAGGCAATGCAAAGGGGGGTAGGTCTCTCCAGAAGATGGTTCAGCCCCTTTTGGAGGCATCACCTCCCCTCTCAGTCTGAGGCTGGTGATGCCTCAGTTGATGCCTAAGGGTGCTTAAGACAAGCTCGCCGCTGTGCCCAGGAGGTTACGTTGTCGCTCATCCCCTCCTAAGCGCCTGTGAGCACATGAACGTACAGTCCTAGCTTGTGCCTCGCTTTCCCCGTCTGATGGAGAGGTGGAGGACATAATTTTTGACTCATCTTGGCCGAGAGCCACCTTGTGATTCTGACAGACTTTGCAGAAATCCTGCTCTTTGGGCTGTCTGGATCCCTCCCGGCTTGTACCTGGGATGACCCTCTCTCAACCTGTGCCATACAACAACCTGACCCTTTAAACAAAAAAAACCCAAAATCCCACCTCCTTCCCTGTTGACGTGTCCAATCCTTTCCACCTTGCAGCTCATCTTCCAGGTGACCCCCCTGAGCTGGCCGCAGTGGGTGGTTGTAATGAAGATCTCCCTGCCCGTTATCCTGTTGGATGAAGGACTCAAGTACCTTTCCCGCAACCACCTGGACGGTGAGCATGGCCTGCACCACCCTGGCTTATGTTTGCTCCATGGTGCTTTGCTTGGGGCTTCATGGTGGCTTCATGGACACCTCGCTCACCTCCTCTGCTCGTGTGGTGTCTGCACCTGCATCTTCATCCACCTTTGCTGTGAAAAAGGGACTTTTTCTCCTGTCCCCTTCCTTCCCGGGTGCCGTGCCCGGCAGAGCGGTTGGTACTTACATCTGCTTGAGATATTCCCGTAGGAGCTGGAGCACTAGATAAATCTGCCACATGTGTTTATCCAGCTCCTCTGGAGCCTCTGGGAACTGGATCCCTTCTCTTATAAAGCAAAACAAATCAAACACTGGTTAAGGAATCTTTCCTTTTTTCCCCTCGGGCTTCCACCCCTCTGTGTCCATCCTTATCTTGTGTTTGCTGCATCTATGTTGAGATCAAATGAGAGCTGAACACCTTAGAAACTGGTTTTAACGGGGTTGCCCTTGGCCAGCCCGTGGCACACACGGAGGAGAAGCAGCTCCTGCGATAGCGGGGCAGCGGTTCCTGTGTGCTCCTGGGCTCCCTGCTGTAAATCACAGCATGTGTTTAGGCAACCCTCCAAAGAGATGATATCATCTTTTCTTTCATTTCTTCCAAAAGATGTTGCTGTGGGTGATATCTCAGCAGCGAGTTAAACCTGCAGGTTTTCCCGGCAGCGCTGCGGGGCCACGGCTGCTGAGCGGGGGCTGTGCCTGTCTTGGGGCTGGCCCCTCTCCAGGAAAACAGATTTTGGTCATTTTTTAGGGGGGTGTTTGCCCCAGCAGTGATAGCAGGGAGGAGAAGGGCAGAGCAGGTACCGTCCTTGCCCGGGGAAGATCTGTGGCTCTGGGGGGCAGATGAACAACCTGAATGTGGGGTCTGGATCTCCTTCCACAGCATCACTTGCTCAAACCTTTGTTCAACCCTTAGGCAACCGGCGTCCTAGCAAACCCCTCCTTTTACCTTCACCCTTTAATAATGACCCAGGAAAACCGTGCAAAGCCACTCTTGCCTTTCAGGGCTGAAGGCAGGTCCCTCTAGCCCTGGCAGGGAGGGATGTGGGGCATCGTAACAGCTCTGTTTGGTTTCTCATGGAGCAGAACTGTGCAAAAAGCTGGAAATACAGGATGGGAAATTATTGCAAGAAGGAAACGATCACAAACTGGCCGCCCTCCCCATCAACGGGTCACGGGGTTGCTCACGTTGGCTTTCTTTTCTGCGGCGAGCTGGTGCATAACCACAGCGATTGCTCAGAGGAGCTGCTGCTGAGAAACAGAGGGGCAGGAGCTCCTGCTTTTACAGATAGAAATTGTTTCTAGCTTATTTTTATTTAATTGTTGCATCTCTCAACAGACTGATAGGTGCTTTGCATCACCCAGGTCTGTTTTATCGTATGATTACAAGCCTGTAGCACCAATTTTATGGCACGGCACTGGGCTGGGGCGTAGGAGAGCTGGTTAATTCCTGGCTGTTGCATCCCGTGCATGCCCTCGGTCTTGTCTTCACCATCTGTGATCTGGGGATGAGTCTGTCTTTCTCCCACACTTTGCGTTTCTCTAAAATCTCAGTGCTGTTGGAGGAAGGGCTTTTCTTCAGCTCTGCCTGCACACCTCTCGGCACCGTGGGGTTTCTGGCAGACGTACGATCCTTTCGAGTCCCATCATACCAGTTCAGAGTGTTTCCTCTTCCCTTGCCATGCTCCCGACATGCTGGGTCCTCTGAGCTGCCCTCATCCCCACGGTCACGATATTGCCGATGCTCATGGGCCATTCCGTGTCTCATCCAGCAAGGGTTTCCCATACAGCTATTCAGTCACGGCTATGGGGCAAAATCACGCTTAAATCATCACATTCGAGAGAAATAATTGAAATCCTGCATCTTCCTAATTCCTCTGGACTTTGAAAAGCAAACAAAAAAAACCTTCAAAAAGCCACTTTTAAATGTGGTATTGTGATTTTTTTACCAGGCATTCTCAGGACGGTAAGACACACGTGGAGCGAGGAGCACCAGTTGAAAACCTGCAGGACTCCAGAGCAAGGGTTGGCTTTCTCATGTGTCTCATCCCCGAATGCCGTATCCCTGTGCATCCTCCAAACTCTTGCTCATGTGTGGTAGGGACCTGCTTGGAACATGTCTGGGTGAACGTGGCTTGGAAAACCAGCTGATAACGGAGCCCGGGGACCCTGTACCCAGATAGGATCTCCTTTCCTACATTGTCCTCTATGTTTTGCTTCAAAATAAGGTGTAAAAAGCCTGTGACGCAGCTGTTTGCCTGGCAGCTTTGGCCAGGGGCCAGGCTACTGCTTGGTCTCTGCAAGGCAACACTTGAGGATGGTCTCCAGCGTGGGATGGCCAAGGGTGTTCGGTTGAGGGATGCAAAAGTGTAGCTGTGCGTTCTGCTGATTCAGGTTTTGCATGGCAAAGTTTCTCCTTTGATCAGATTTAGATAAGTCCTGTTTCCATTATGCTGGATTTTCCTTGTCCTTGAGGCAGCAGAAAGCTGAGACTCTTCAGTTTTCATGGTGGTCTCAGTGCTTTACATTCCTCTCCCCATCACCCCTGTCACTTCCAGCCTCTCATCTTGCATACTTGGCATGTATTGCTGCCTTCATCCATCTGTGGCCCCTCTGAGGTTTCTGCTGTCTCAGTTTTGGGAGGCAACGTGAGTGTGAGATGGCAAGCGAAAGTGCATGGCTGAGCTGGGTTGGCTTGGTGCGACCTGCAGATGTTCTGGTCAGGGATGTGGAGATGTTCGCCAGGGCCCTCTCAGGGGTCCATCACACAGAGCTACCAGGCTCACAAGGGCTGACCACCTGCAAGGACCTTTTGCCCTAGTATTTTTAACGTTTGCCATGCTCTATGCATTTAACTGTATCGCTCTTTCTGAGCCCCGTGGCACGCAGGAGAAAGGTTTCCAAGCATCTGTGCCAAGACCTTGCAGAAGTCTCTTTTCTGAGTGGTTCTCCGAAGGTACCAAATCCAGACAGGACACTGCGATAACTCCGGTGCTCGTGTCCCTCCGTGCACCATCGGCCCACTGCTGTGCCCACCCCACTCCCCTCCTGCCTTCCTCCACTGTCCCTGGGCCCCATCATCTTCACCATCTGGAAGCAAACCCATGGCAGGTGTCGGTGTTGCCGCCGTGGTGTTTTCACTTGTTTGCAGCACGGGAAGCAGCAGGCCCTGCCCGGGTGCTCGGGCATCACCGTTTCTCACCTGTGCCCTGGTAAAAGCAGGGGCAAGTCAAGAAGTTGATGCTTTTTGCATCACAGCTACGCAACTGCCCCGACAGCAGCAGCGTCACTGAAAATCAGAAGTTTTGATGCACAAAAATTGTCTTGGTGTCTTTTGTGGCGGATTAGCGTTTCTGCAGCCATTTGTCCTTACACCCAGCGAGGACGGCAGCCCCCGGGTGATTTTGCAGGAACTTCAAGGTGGTGACTGCACCACTGGGTACCAGTCCCCTCCCTGGCAGGCAGCACGGTGTCCCGCAGCCTCCTGCCGCCGCCGCTGATGTGCAGGCGAGATTGCACCCTTGGGTGAGCATCTCCACTGCCGAGGGAGATTTGGCCTCTTATCTACAAAGTCGGCGTCAGCTTTATGCTTTAACATCCTCGCGGAGAAGAGCAGCTGGCAGAGGTGGCTGTGCGGTGACAAGTGCGTCGTGCTCTCTGCCGGGCCTCCGCATCCCTTCAAGACAGCCCAAAATCTGCAGAGACCAAAATCTTAGTGTCCCATCGCAAAAAAACCCCTCCAGCACGTAGTGAAAAGGAACTGCTCACCCTCATCTCCCCCATGCACCTGCATCTGGGGGGTGAGGGCAGCCCCTCAAAACCCACCCGGGAGCACAGGGGCTGCCACGGCCGCCCACTTTCCCTGCGGAGGAGGCAGGCCACCCGCTCCCCA